ACCTCTGTGACTTAGTGTCAGTGACATCGAACCACACAAACAGACAGTCTGCAGAGCTGAACGTGAGCTTCGAGGGCACCTCGACCGCCTCATACCTCCTCCTTTGTTTCAATTCCCCTTTTTGACTCATACGTCCTCCATGCTATAGCCTTTATTGCCTGCTTGCTTGCCGGCGCAGAGGCCCAAAGGTGCCTGTGCGCACCAGCACACACGATTTGCCTTGCGGATGCGTCGCCTTGCTAGCAGGAGCTTCAACACCGACTAGTGTGAGTTGTCTGAGTCCTCAGTCTTGGATCATGGCGAGCCTATTGAGTCACGTTGTTCCCCTTTGTTCAGCCCCTGGCACACCCCGATTGTCCCTCCTTGAAGCTTCAAGGGCGACCTGCACGAGCACTAAACTCCGACCTGAGGCTGAGCAGGAGACTCACCGAGACTCACAACTGACCATAAACGATACATACATGCGGCCTTTAACGACTACCTGTACGAGGTGAGTCGGTGCGGGGTTGCAGCACTCCTGCGAGTTTTCAGTTTGTTGTGGGCTTGAGCTGGTCATGACGCAGGCAAGCATGCAAAAGGAAGGAAGCAACCGTCTGGGCAAGAAAACCAAGGTACTGCAGGGGGCAGAGTGCCGCGTGTTTGTTGGAGAAGCGTGTGGGTCAAGCTCAGACTCGTCCCGGTTGCCGCCGTCGTCCGCCCATGCAGCCGGCCGAGTCGGTTTCGTTTCCACTCGATCTCCAACCAAGGTGGGCAAAGGGTCTTGCAAGCACTTTTGGGACCTTCCAGCATCCTGTCCACGCCATCGCAAGCGTTGATTGCTGCCCAGGGACTGGTTGCTCCTGTGCAGCCCTCGCTGAGGGCCCTCATGGAGAGCTTCTTGTGTGTTTCTTTAGGAGGGCTTGAGCTAGCCCTGGCCCGTGAGCAAGCACACCCGCTTCGTTTCTCTTAGGCAGAAGGTGCAAATTAGGCTTCCCAGGTGTGACTCGCTTCTTTCCTTCCCTGCATCTGTTTGCCTGGAGGGAGCTTTTCGAGGTCCTTGCGAAGGCGGCTTCAAGAGCAGCCTCAAAACGACCCCCAGTCTTCCTCTTGCTCGCTTGCTTGCTTGCTTGCTTGCTTGCACTGCGTTTAGCTGCACCCGCGCGCTCTCGCGATACGCTGACGTTCTGTCCTGAGTCGGTGTGCGACAGGGCGACGGCTTCGGCACCTGATTCCACCCAAGGACTCCAAAACCCTGCAATCCGAAAAACCGCATTTTCCTTATCCTTGCTGGCGCCGCCTGCCACTCGGCACGCGCAGCGAGCTCTCTGTCTCTCGCTGTCTCTCTTTTCGCTCTCTTATTTTCATCATGTTCTTGCCAGAGGCCAGAGCTGGACAGTCAGCACGACGCTGAGTTGACAGGAAAGGGCTGAATTCTGGCAAACGTTGGCCGAAAATCAGTTTAGAGCTTCATGAAGATCCAATTTTGCTGCTGGGTGTCCCCAGGGCGAGTGAAGCACAACAATCAAACGGAAAAGAATACGCCAGTCGCTCTACTGCTTGATTTCCAACGCCACTCAGGAGCCGACCCTTCGAAGTTCCCACCGGTGTGGTACTGGAAGACAGGAGGACCAATATCAAAACTAAATTCATGAAGTCTCAGAACAGGACTGTCCGTGGTTGGTCTTGGCTCGGCTAGGTTGACTGCCGGGTCTATCCGTAGGTGTGGTTCGGCACGACTGCTGGTCCCGTCCTCGGGCTCCTTTGCAGCCACTGCCAGGCTTCTGATCAAACCACGCTGCAAGTATGACCTGCGCAGGCGGCCCTAGAGAGAAACAAAAGAGGAGAGAGAGATAGCGAGAGAGAGAGAGAGAGAGAGAGAGAGCGAGAGAGAAAGAGCGAGAGAGATAGAGAGAGAGAGAGAGAGAGAGCGAGGGAGGGACCAGGGAGGGAGGGAGGGAGGGAGGGAGGAGAGAGGGAGAGAGAAAGAAAAAGAGAAAGAAATAGCCGAAAACATAGGTGCTAACCCAAGTATTTCAAGCAATCACGATTTATCGGACATGCTCACAAACATATGCACATACATACATACATACATACATACATGCCCGCCATCCCCCGCCAACACCCACCTCTGTCGCTGCAAATCCTATGAATCCTCCCGTGCGATCGTTTCTAGTAGGAATCCCTTTCGCTGTTGTTGTCTCGTCCCTTTTGCTGTGAATCCTTTTCTTGCGATCGTTACCATCATGGATTTGTCAATGATCGGTGTGAAACTCAAGCCATGTCAAACCATGCACCGTAAACCCAACCGGCTTGGACCGGCTGGAGTTTCAAGCCGGTCCGCCGAAGATTTTCATGGCTTTCACAACATTCAAAATTTAGCCAATCTGCAAAACCTCCTCTTTCGTCCCCCTCCCAGGCCCGTCTCACCGTAGATCAGATCCTTGTTTTCGACTTTTTGGGGCCATGTTGGTGGAGGTTTTGCTTGTTTTTTGTGTAGTGGCCCCGCACCCTACTAACTCCCCTGACCCCCCTCCCTTCACGCCGTGGCATCCCAGCCCTAGGCCCTCCAGCCGCGCTCGCACTGTTCACAAACCTCGTGCGCAAAACGACGCCCTTGACCCTCGACCTGCCCTGAAGCCATATTACCTGGTCTCCCGAATCCCCAAACTCGGCATCACTGAATTTAAACCCCCTCATGCCAAGCCAAGCCGAGCAAGCCAAGCCATTGAAAATCAAACCTTGCCAGCCTATCTACCCCACGACCCTGTCTAACAGATTTCTATCCAACAGAAAATCTTGGCTAGCACCCGAAAGCCTGAACCGAAAAGCCTACACCCTACCCGCATAACTACAAAAGCACACACACACACACACACACACCATGCGCCCACCGCGAACACACGCGCCCATCGTTAAGAAGCCGTGACCCCCGGAATGGACCGCCTGTAATCGTCTGATTTCAAAGGCTTCACACTGCAATCCCAGCTTGTGGCTGTCGTGTGATCAGATCACATTGCAAATTTTACGCGACGGTATCCCAGCGTGCGCCGGTATGGAGAAGGCATCTAAACGGAACGCTGCGCCGAGATCGACACGTAATTCCATTGCTTCCGACCCTGTGATATGCACACGGCATATACATGTACGTGATAAGTACACAGACATGCATGCACATGTCAACCTGCATGCCTGTACTTGCATACATACCAGCAGGCAAATTCAAGGTTGCGAGCCTGGGACCTTGCCGCGCACGGGGCAACCATGCCGCAACCTGCAAGTGAAGCATTCGGCATTGCCAGCTGCTTTAGGACAACAACAGTTTAAGCGAAAGCTGCGACCTTCGCCCCACAAACCTGTCGCGCTGCCGCTTGCATCATGCTGGATGCTACTGTGCGATGTAGGAGTACGAAGACCGCGCTGTCTGGAAGCTGAGTGTACCAGTCTTGCAGCCTTGCAAACTTGGACATTTCGAGATTTGACTGGGAAGATAACGATATATGAGCATTGAAATCCGCTGTAAAACGGCTGAGGTGCATTCGCAAGCTACCTATTCGAGTGATCGCCTGACTAATCCACGGATCGGAAACCTCCCATCATTCACACGATGCCATGCAAAGCCGTACGCACAACAGCATAGAACAATAAAGCCGTTCTTGTATGAACAAGCTGACACTGAGTGCAGAGCGATTTGCTCAGAAGCACCGGCTACCGTTTGTTTGCGTGTTCAGCAGTTGCCCTGTGTAGGGCCAACACAAGACAATCCGCCAAGGTAGCTAGAAGTACCACAGCCCGTGAGCTAGTGCAGCAAGCTGTGGGTCTGGCTCCCTGCTTCTGAGACGTATAATGTAGTCATCGCCAAAGATCCGCCAAAGATCCACGGACATTGCAAGCGACCGGGAATCGAAGTAGGGACTCTGAAGGGTTTACAGAAAAGCCAAAGACCAAATCAATGTGTGTGCTACTTCCGATCTGGCACTGAGAACAGATGTCCATGCAGATGTGGTGGATCGGCACAAACAACACAGGGCAGCAGAGCCATCTGATGCTAGGCTTCAGGTTGTCACATTCTGACTTCCAGACCTTTCTCTGACATTTTGGAGCTTGTCTCCTTAGCTTGTCGAGAATCCCTGGTGACCTGACCTGCCTGCACCTTGCACCGAAGACGTCTCGTTGTTGCTGCCGTCTGCCTGACAGTGTCTTGCAAAGGCCTCGGTTGGCCGTCCATTCACTAAACTCCAAGGGTCCAGAATGTACCACAGTGTGATAGTGTGATACAGTGTGCACCAGCAAACAAGTACCAGCTGTTCTGGCCGTTGTCGCTGTAGGACCCGAGCGCAGCAAGGTGGGCCGGGTCAGATGCTCTCCTTGTGCAAGTGGCAAAGGACTGTCAGCAAGGTGTCCAGGCACCTCTGGCCAAAGAAGTCCACTTCAAAGCGCCGTCATGTTCCAGGTCGGCACTGGTGCTGCATCCATGCGAGTGACGAACGACTCGTGCAACGTCGGAGACTGCAGAAAGCCATGGGCCATTGTGGCTGGAAGCTGGCTTCAACGTCCTCCTCATCCGCAGAAATGCATCAAGGCACCTGGAATACCTCACTTGCCGCTACACTAAGCTCCACGTCACGAGGGTCGAACTTCCAGCTTGAGTGAGACAAGATGCACATGATTGCAACACCGCCGCACCACGTCTCCTAGTTCTCCCTTATCTCCGTGGTTGAATCTGGTCCCGCCGCGGACACTGAGTTTGCAGAGAAGCGCAGCAGCTGGCAGAACTTACCAAGCCAGCCCGTCAACGTGGCGACAGACTTCTATTCCGCCGCTGGTGCCAAGAACAGGAACAAACCTCGTTCAGAGCATTCAAGGCTCTCTCGGCTCTCTCGGCTACGCAGCGAACACAAAACGAGTCCCGGCCCAGCCCGGCGGGCCGGCGGCCCGGCCTGCGGCTTTGGACTGGCCCGAAGGCCTGGACAGCAGATACAGCAGCTACCAGTACGAACAGCTACGCCGCGGCTACGCCGCTACGTTGTCGAGAAGCGACGAACGGGGGCTGGAGCCTGGGATCTTTCAACACAGCGCTGCTTCCACCTGGGGTACTCCTCCGGTGCGCCGCCTGAGCAGCAAGACTCCGAACACTGAAGGCAGGCTGAACAGCCTGCAGTTGTTTCAATTCAAAGCCGCAGACGTTGGAGCCCCCGTTGGTGAAGAGTCCAGAAAAGTGTGTACCTTTGCGCCGAGACCAGACAGTCGAAGAGAAAACTTGCCGTGACAAGTCAAACCCTGCTGAAGGACAACTCGTGCAAAGAGGCGCCATCTCCACATCTGCCGATGCACCATCTTTGCATTTATCTGGAGGTACTGCGCACCCGCGTACGCAAACGTTTGGAAAGGATTGAAAAGATGCCACAGATGAACTATCTTGATTCCGTTGTCCATCGGGAAGGAGAAGTTTGTCAACATGTCGTTGGCTTCGCTGTCGCTCTCATAATGAAGAAATGGCATGACGTCCAGCAATTCTGGATAAAGGTTGTACGTGAGCGGTATGATGTTGTAGCTGTGGTTGAAATATGCATCCAGCAAATCTTGTTCAACGAACTGCGACGTCTCCACTCCCTGAAGGCCTTCAAGGAGATGGTCGAACCTGAGGCATGAAGTATCCGCAATGATTCAATGCCATGAGCAGAAGCGCTTCGAAATCGGCTAAGGCAGCATCTTGACACTGTCGGGCTCCAGCACCATCACGCCAGCACTCAACTTGGGCCTGTCCAGCTCGCCCATCAAAGTGTCCTGCTGCGCAGCTCGATGTCTCGGAGCGAACTGGCCCTGAAATCTGCTTCACAATGCCGCAGCCCTTCGGACGACGACGGGAACTGCTACTTGCGGCGCCTTCTAGGTTCAGATTACAAGTGCCGTTTACTGCGGCTCTGATCAGGACCCGTCCTTGTTCACCGTAGCCGAAGGAGACGGCAACCAGAAAAGTTCATCAACATTTTGCAATACCAGTGTATCTGCGTCCTGCACTGCGTGGTTTCTGGGTGCATCAAGAGGAACAGCAGTTCAAAAGCTCGGTCATGAAACGGGGTCCATCATGACGATCTTCCTGATCCCCTTCTGGTCAAGTTGCAGCACACGTAGCTTCGTTAATACGAACTCGTACCGACTCGACCGGCTGGTTGAGAGAGCCTCGGCTGCACAGTCAGCACAACGTGGTCATCGCTTGTGAGATGCCACTACCGAAGCCCAATCAATGGGCCGTTTTGGAGTTGGGTTGGACTTCACCGAGATTCGTTTCGAGCCCAATTCGGCAGTGGTCCCGCCAAGTCCAAGGCATTGGGCACGTCTGAGCCAGTGTGTTTCGATCGTGTCCACCAGCCAGTACCAGCCCGAGTGCGAACTTTTTCATGTCAATTTTTTCATGGTTGAACACGGCGACTGATGCGTCTGTCCTTGCATGTGTAGTCGTAGCTGTCTTCGCTTGCAGCTATGATCGTCTCCCGTACGTGCGCCCGCTTTGAAACATGGCCAACAAAACCCGCAGTCGGCACCAAGCGATTGCCCTGCCGGCCCAAAGTATGAGTTTAAAAGAGACTCGGGTGGCGAAGGCGGGAAGTCGACATTTTTGGGGCGGTCGAGTCGAACCATTCCCACTTCGTGTATCTTCGCTACAACAATAATTACTTACTATATTATATGACCAATGAACAAGTAACGAGGTATACAAGGACGCGTGACCAGAAGTTACAAGCACAGCGTCCGCTTTTTGGTGGTAGTGCATCCGTCGTCGTACGTTCGCGCGACAAAACGGGGAGTCGGCGCCGGGGTGTGCATTTCTGCACCCGTTCGGCGCACTTCTTCAACTAAGGCGCGGTCAAGCCGGACAACCTGCTCGTTCCTGTGTCTAAGGACACGCTCCCTACACCGCAGCCTAACAGCATCAAGTTCCGCGCGCCCGTGACCTTCCTTTTACAAGAATGCACACTGGTCGCAGGCAGGCGGCGCAACGAGGTCGCAACTTCTAAGCTGCTGGCCTCGTGCACCCCACCTGCTAGACGTCTTCGAAGCTTGGAAAAGAATTGGGTGGCGAGGGTGGGCTTTCAAAAGACAGGCACCCCCCCCTGCCCAACCCTAGCTTGCGCGGCTGCGGAAGCGGTCGCAGCCGTGTCATTACGTGCACACGTGCACTACAAATCCTTGCCCAGACGCTCGACTTCTGGATCCCCTAAGACAAGGTGAGCAGTTCGCCAGCATGGGAAGGACCCAGGCATCCTCGCTTCTTTCACTGACCGTCGATGGGGCGAAGTTGCGACTTTTACCGGTTTGTTGAGCCAACGTCCGCAAGGCGGTCCTGGAAGTGACCCGTGCCTGGGCTGGGGGTTGGGGGTTCCTGAGAAGCTTCTCGATGTAGCCTTGCGCTCACCGGCGCTGTGTAGGGGAGGACGCAGGGCGCCAACTCGTTTTAACGGCCTGAGAAAAACCATCGCCCCAGGAGCCGACTGATGACGCCATGCCCTTAGCTGCCCAAAATGCACCGGCGAATCGGCAGACGTGGCCGTCAAAGGCCTGTCCGAGTGTGTCGTCACGTGTGTCGGGAGATGTCGGGAGGGCCGGAACTGCGGAGGCATCCCCGTTGGGTGGCCAAAGCTGCCGATTGGGAAAGGTAGGACCCTATCCCGATAGGGTGGTGAAGGTGCCGTAGCGGTATGTCGTGGTCGATGATGTGCTAGTGCCGGGATGCCGGCATTGACGATGAAGCTTGTGCCGCCCCCCATTGCGTGGCGTGTGCTCTGATGCCAAGGGTCCAAGCCATGGGATGCGAGGGTGGGTCGGGATCGCCAATACGCATCCAAGTTGGTGTCGACAAAATCCATGCAGGAACAGGCCGGTGCGATGCGGCGCCGGCAGCCCACGACAAGATGCTGCGTCGTTGGCCATAACGTTGGCAAGATTAGGCGAAGGGAGCAAGGTCGACATGTTGGGGATTCCTGGGGGACGGTGGAGCCGAATGAATACTGCGCGAGGCGACCTCCCGGGACTTGACCCTACTCCTACTCACAGTTTGTGTGCACTAAACAACACAAGTCCAAGTGCACTTGGTAGCTCTGTCGCCTTGAAGCCACGTGGCAGGGGATTGAATCGGATCTGTTAAATCGATGTCACAACAGCACCTGCTTCACGGAACAAAACCACTCCGCATCGGGCAAACTTGCAAGACTTGTCCGGCCTCGAAAGAATTCTAATCTTTCTCCTTTCAATTTTGCCTCTGGCTACCATGCAAAGCCGGCGAAACGTTGAGCCAGAAGCGATAAGACCCGTTGCCCATACAATTGCATTATCCACATAATCTTCGCTCCAGATGATTGTCACGTAGGCGAAATCTCTTCCGGATCTTGGCTGTAGTAACAGAGGCTCCTGCTGCCGTGGCTCCACAACTCTACATGAAACTGGAAGGAATTCCACTGGTTTGGTCGAGGCGTCCTCAGCGGCCGGCCTCCCGCGATAACCTGCCTCGTAAAGACGAAGATTCCTGCATCAAAGCTGCACACACTTTGCCCGTAGATCTCGGAAGCTTTTCCAACCGGTCTCCTCCTGAGAGCATCCGTCCGATTCTCGGGTGCGCTGTTCTGAACCACGAAGGATGTGGTGTGCGTATACCAGCAGCTCCTTATCAGCGAGCATTGAACACAACAGGAAGGGGCAAGTGCAAGAAATGCCAGTTTTCCTCGTCCTGTCTGCTCCATCCACGAGAAAAGCCTGCATCTACATCAGCCATACCAAGCAGAGGGTTTAAGGTTCCGATCTGCACATTGTGCACAGCGAAGAATCGAAAGGATGGTACTAGTACCAAGCCTTGACACCACCAGCAGAGTACAACATGTACAACGCTTGTGTTTGCAATGATGTTGACAACCGGCATCAACCGGCACGTGTTGGAAATTGTAAAGTGCGCGGGCATTACCAACCGAAGCCCTCACCAAGGCGTCGGCAAGACTAGCGTCCACCCTCTTCTGGCACTGGAACCTCTAAGGAACCGTTCAGTGGATCACCAGCAGCGAGTCCAACTTGCAGGGGCATATATAGTCTCTTATGCTTGTCCGTTAATCAGCAGCATGTCCTCACCGAGGGCGTTCGTTCGCATACAGCTCCAGGTAGGACGTGCACAACAATCGGCCAAGCAAATGCAAGGATTTTGATGAATACAGTTTGCTTGACAACTGGCGCAGAAGTTGTGCAAAGCACAAAAGCTGTCCATAAGCACCTTGACTTGTGTGCAGTATGTCTTTGCGAAAGTTGCAGACAATGGAGAAACCGATGGAAGCCTTCAGTCCAACTGCTACCGCATGCCAAAGCGAAGAAGCCTTCGCAGGCCATTGGTGGAAGCTCAGCGTAACAAGCGGTGTAGCCTTCAACCCCGAACCCTGACGGGAGGGTCCTCGGACCCCGTAAGCCCCAAGCCTTGGGGCACAGACTGCATCCCTGTCCCGCAGCCTTGATGAAGTACTTGCCCGACTGGAGACCGAAAACTTCGATGTTCAACTCGTCAGACCGTAAAGTTGAGAATGTAGACATTTCGTGGCCACGGTCTGCATCGGTGCCTGTGATGACGGCTATGATGTGACCACTTTCCTTCAATCGGAAATCTCCCCAGATCTTCGTGCGGAGCACGAATGGCGACATGGTTGGAGGCATGGTCTGCCCTGGCCTGGCAGCACTGCAGGAAAAAGAGCCACTACAGCAGAGAAGTTGCCCACCTTGGCCACAAGATTGCCACACCTGCCTGCCAGGGCACTAGATTTAGCTGACAAGCAGCGGCAGCTGGTTTCATGCACAAGCTATGCTGATTCTGGACTGTCGGCTAGCAAGCGTGTCCAAAAACAAATAAGCAAAAAAATGCGTGCGCGTGTGTGTGTGTGTGTGTGTCTGTCTGTGTTTCTGTGTTTCTGTGTCTGTGTGTCTGTGTGTCTGTGCGTCTGTGCGTCTGTGCGTCTGTGTGTCTGTGTCTCTGTGTCTCTGTGTCTCTGTGTCTCTGTGTCTCTGTGTCTCTGTGTCTCTGTGTCTCTGGGTGTCTGGGTGTCTGTGTGTCGTTGTGTCTCTGTGTCTCTGTGTCTCTGTGTCTCTGTGTCTCTGTGTCTCTGTGTCTCTGTGTCTCTGTGTCTGTGTGTCTCTGTGTCTCTGTGTCTCTGTGTCTCTGTGTCTCTGTGTCTCTGTGTGTCTGTGTCTCTGTGTCTCTGTGTCTCTTTGTCTGTGTGTGTCTGTGTGTGTCGGTATGTGTCTGTGTGTGTGTCTGTGTGTGTCTGTGTGTGTCTGTGTGTGTCTGTGTGTGTCTCTGTGTGTCTCTGTGTGTCTCTGTGTGTCTCTGTGTGTCTCTGTGTGTGTGTGTGTGTGTGTCTCTGTGTGTGTCTGTGTGTGCGTCTGTGTGTGTGTGTGTGTGTGTGTGTGTGTGTCTGTGTGTGTGTCTGTGTGTGTGTCTGTGTGTGTGTCTGTGTGTGTGTGTGAACCTCCCTAGCACATGGGAGCAAAGGGTCACTCCTTTGTCGTTTTGAGGCTTTTATGGAACACTTTTTCATGGAAACGCATGACAGTCTGCAGGGGCATTGGGCAGTCCTTGGCAAACCCAATGCAACGAAGCTATGACATGGAGTGGGAAGCAGTTCAGGACGCTGAACTGTGTACCTGCAAGCTGGGCCCCCTGAGGCAGCAAGATTAGAAAACGCTGGACCCCTGAGGCAGCAAGATCAGTGCTCTTACAGTTTTCCACATCAGTTGATTGAGCATACAGTTTTGCACGTTTGCCGCAATCTGACAAGAACATGCAGCAAGTTCAACATGCCTCTCTCTTTTCCTTCTTGCACTCGTGCTCTCGGCCGAATCAGTCAGTGTGTCTGTGTGTGTGTCTGTGTGTGTGTCTGTGTGTGTGTCTGTGTCTGTGTCTGTGTCTGTGTCTGTGTCTCTGTTTGTCTGTGTGTCTCTGTGTCTCTGTGTCTCTGTGTCTCTGTGTCTCTGTGTCGCTGTGTCTCTGTGTCTCTGTGTCTCTGTGTCTCTGTGTCTCTGTGTCTCTGTGTCTCTGTGTCTCTGTGTCTCTGTGTCTCTGTGTCTCTGTGTCTCTGTGTCTCTGTGTCTCTGTGTCTCTGTGTCTCTGTGTCTGTGTCTGTGTCTCTGTGTCTCTGTGTCTCTGTGTCTCTGTGTCTCTGTGTCTCTGTGTCTCTGTGTCGCTGTGTCGCTGTGTCTCTGTGTCTCTGTGTCTCTGTGTCTCTGTGTCTCTGTGTCTCTGTGTCTCTGTGTCGCTGTGTCGCTGTGTCTCTGTGTCTCTGTGTCTCTGTGTCTCTGTGTCTCTGTGTCTCTGTGTCTCTGTGTCGCTGTGTCGCTGTGTCGCTGTGTCGCTGTGTCGCTGTGTCGCTGTGTCGCTGTGTCGCTGTGTCGCTGTGTCTCTGTGTCTCTGTGTCTCTGTGTCTCTGTGTCTCTGTGTCTCTGTGTCTCTGTGTCTCTGCGTCTCTGTGTCTCTGTGTCTCTGTGTCTCTGTGTCTCTGTGTCTCTGTGTCTCTGTGTCTCTGTGTCTCTGTGTCTCTGTGTGTGTGTGTGTCTGTGTGTCTGTGTGTCTGTGTGTCTGTGTGTCTGTGTGTCTGTGTGTCTGTGTGTCTGTGTCTGTGTCTGCATCTGCGTCTGCGTCTGCGTCTGCATCTGCGTCTGCGCCTGCGTCTGCGTCTGCGTCGGCGTCCGCGTCCGCGTCTCTGTCTCTGTTTGCTGGCTTGCTTGCACGGCGTTTGGGGCAGAGAGATCAGACCCTCCAACCTTGCGCTCACGCGCTGCGCCGAGTGTCCAAGTTTGGTCTGAAGGTGAAACGATCGTGGAGTTTCGAGTCGAGCTGGACTCGTTCTTTCCGCGTCCCTTTCAGTAAGTCTCATGATCTCCCAGCATGCAGTTGCAAGTCCCGGCCTAGTCCAGCTCGTTTGCCCCGACCGCCACTCGTCGTGTTCTGCTCTTCCGCCCAGTGCCCCCTGACTTTCGGCTTCTTCGCGGGCTACAGAGCTTTTGGGCTTTCGTAGGAAAACAAACGCGGCATGTTGCTGCGGTGTTGGTAACACTCAGCAGTACCACTAGCCGCTGGTTGTGTCCCCCGTTGCTCTGTCTGACTTCTGCCTTTTGGTCTCTGTCTCTGTCTCTGTGTCTGTGTCTGTGCGTCTGTGTGTGTGTCTGCGTGTGTGCGCACCTCTCTCGTTCATGAGATAAGGGGCTCACAACCCATTCTCTCATCAACATGTGTTGCAGGGGACCACCGAGGCCTCCGGGGAGCGGTGGTCAACGAAGACTTCCCCGGAAAGCCTGTGCAAACGTAAATGCTCTTTCCACCCTCATTGCATCTGGGGCGGTTGGGCCAGCTGGTGAATGAGGAATGGAAATGACGACGACGACGAGGAGTGCTACGACGAGCATTTCAACACTCCACATGCTTCACCCGACACACTGCAAGTACAACCTCATATATAATATCCCCATGCGGGAATCCATCCGGGAGCGCAGACAACACTTCTTCGGTGTGTCTGCGCATCTGTGTGTGTGTGTGTGTCTCTGTGTGTGTCTCTGTGTGTGTGTGTGTGGCTCTGCGTGTCTCTGTGTCTGCGTGTGTGTGTGTGTGTGTGTCATCCCTGCAACAAAAAGCTAATCGTAATCAGACTCGTGCTTGCTGTGTTAGGACAGTCAGCAGGGGCTGAGGGTCCCTCACTTGTGCCTCAGCCAATGAAGACCGCAAGTGCACGGACGCTTAAACGTACCTGCAGAGTTGCACCTGGATCCCATAGTGGATAGCTGGTGGACTCATCATTGTATTCAGTGCTTTGCTTGCGTGACAGCTCTGAGTGAGCTAGTGTGCGTTTGTGTCAGCGAGGTAGAAAAATTGAGCCTCGAGACCTGAAACTCGACAATTGGCAAAAGCGCAGCAAAGAGAGACGACACAAGAGCCACATTCCCGACGACATCACAGATCAAGAGATCTAATGCACGTGTGTTTCCAGCATGGCTATCCCGCGGGGCGTGGGCTCCTCCCCTGTGGGGTGGTGCCCCTGTGGTGTCCGCCGCTTGTTCAGGTAAGCAGGGACACCGGCCCTCTCTCCAAGCTTCACTCTATGTGTGCATGCCACCAAGCAGAAGCTGCAATATTGGCTGACTCGTAGCATGCTGTGCATGTTGTAATTACATTGGTTTGGATGCTGAGCAGCTAGCAAACCTACAGAGGTGTGCTTACAACTATTTGTCAGCAGTTGCCTTGCCATCCTTATTACGATTGTTGCCACACTAGAGGTAGCGGTTTGCACCTTTTTCCGTTGCCGATGGCACCTGTGTCCCTGTGGTATAGACTCTCTGGTGCACTCGCGGAGCATTGCATTGACACCCGGCGCCTCCCCCCTGTGGTTTGGGTGGTGGGTTCTGGGGTAGCAGCCCGGGACCCGAGACCATGTATCTCTAGTGCTGCGGGCAGACAAAGTGTTTCGATATCATCGTGGGAACTCCGTTGAAAGTGGCAAATTTCTTCTGCACCCACATTACTAGAAAGCGCGCTGCCGTTCCATTGCCGTGCCTCTTGCTCATCTTGACAAATTTTGATCTCAAACTGCGATGCCTCGCCGCATGAAGCACGACATCCACAGCAAGTAATTACATTGCCTCCAACACATCAGCTGGGCAGCTTCCCACCTGGCCGTAGCAACCTGCATAGACAAAGCATTTTGAACCATCAGCAGTCGGTCAATCAATCCTCGCTCCTTCCCAAGCCCAGTCGAGTGATGTTCTGTTTCCCCGTTGCAAACTCTGCAACTGTTCTGCCGTGGAGGCTGGTTGCGAGAAACGCTTTTGCTTTTATTTGTGCCTCGCCTCTTGCGCTTCTGGCGAGTATGCCACAGCATCACAAAGTTCTCTCATGCTTTGACGTAGATGTACCCGGGGGCGGAAGCCATGACATCAGCCATCACATGTTTCATGTTGCACGCAAACAGCATCTGGCCTGGAAAGAGCAGCGCGATCGAAAGGAAGACGGCCCACACCCTTTGCTCCATGTGCGGCGCAGAAAGCACTCGCTGGTCGAGCCATGAGACGTGCGAGATTGCTGAGAAATCCACTGCTGCACTGAGGTGCTTTCACACATGCTCGATTCCACGTGTTAAGCTTTATTTTTCGACACCGAACAGGTCGCATGTGGGTTCGACCTGGAACGACGCGACTAGCAAAGAGTTGGTGAAACAACCATCACTCAAACGCACAAACACACACGAACGCACACACCAAAGAGACGTCAAGTGATGAGAGCCGGAAGCCACCTTGGGTGTCTTCGGAGATTTGAGCATCACGGCACAACGACAGAAGGTAGAAGACTGAGGATACCCGTCGTTCGCATATATACATGCAGAAGCTGCATTCTGCCGCTTATGCCAGGATCTCGTTGACGTCGCGCTGAAATCCCTTCACATGTTGGCGCAAGCGCTCGTTCTCCTGGCATTAATTTGACGAAAGTCATACTTAGAAGTCATAAGGCATGGAAACGTAGATTGCGCTAACAAAAATCACACAGGAAAAGTCCCACACCCACGCTAGTGCAACTCCTTCTATTTATCCCCACCCTTGGCAAAGCATCGCATGTGTTCCAACAAACATAGAAGAAAACGTCTACCATCAAACAGATTCTGGCA